ATTTATTATATTTGGAGTGTTTTCTATCAATCCTCATCAAAAATTTTGTCCTCCGTGGTACTCTGTTTTGACCATTTTTGGCCGCGGTCGTGACACTGTGCGGCGTTTGTAAGAAACATTAGTTTAACGGTTGCAAAACTTTGAAGACGATGCTAAAACAAAACACTGTCGAAGAACGAGTGGAAGTGTTTTTTTTTTTAAAGTTCAAAAGTCGGACGGATCCGACTATATGATACCCTTCACAACTTTGGATACATACAAGAAATGCTAATATATACAACAGAACAGACATATAATCTTTAGAGGACCATTGAAATGGAATGGGGTGAAACTAAATGTGTGATCTACATAGATATTTCAACCAATTAAAAAGCCATGTACATACCATTCTGAAATCTATGAAAAATTGTATGTCAATCGGATTCTTTTGTTTACCATTTGTATGAAATAGAGCAAAATAATGTATGTGGAGCTATATGCAAATCTGGACCTAATTGAGCAACCGTGTCATATCCCATTTGGTAGTCTGCAACACAGAGCGCTTTCCACAATTTTATCTCGTGTATATGGAGCAGACATAGGCTCCTCGGTGCATCATTTACCAAAAATCTGACGAAACTATATATGAACCCATTTTCACGAAACTTAGCACACATCATTCTGCACTTAATTCAGTACGCTATGCCAAATTTTGTGCACATCGAAATATATATAGGGACGTTGGTGCACCATTTACCTTAAATCGGACGAAAATATATGGGAGCTATATCTAAATCTGAACCGATTTTCATGAAATTCAACACACATCTTTCTAGACTTAATTTAGTATATATATATTCCAATAGGAATAGATATATATATATTCCAATAGGGTTCTTCCTTGGGCAAAACAAATGAGCTGTACCAAATTTCATTCAAATCGGATTATAAATGCGACCTGTACTTTGTTTACAATTTAACACCAACAGACGGACGGACATGCATAAATCGACTCAGAAAGTGATTTTATGCATATTCTCAATTATTATATTTGGAGTGTTTTCTATCAATCCTCATCAAAAATTTTGTCCTCCGTGGTACTCTGTTTTGACCATTTTTGGCCGCGGTCGTGACACTGTGCGGCGTTTGTAAGAAACATTAGTTTAACGGTTGCAAAACTTTGAAGACGATGCTAAAACAAAACACTGTCGAAGAACGAGTGGAAGTGTTTTTTTTTTTAAAGTTCAAAAGTCGGACGGATCCGACTATATGATACCCTTCACAACTTTGGATACATACAAGAAATGCTAATATATACAACAGAACAGACATATAATCTTTAGAGGACCATTGAAATGGAATGGGGTGAAACTAAATGTGTGATCTACATAGATATTTCAACCAATTAAAAAGCCATGTACATACCATTCTGAAATCTATGAAAAATTGTATGTCAATCGGATTCTTTTGTTTACCATTTGTATGAAATAGAGCAAAATAATGTATGTGGAGCTATATGCAAATCTGGACCTAATTGAGCAACCGTGTCATATCCCATTTGGTAGTCTGCAACACAGAGCGCTTTCCACAATTTTATCTCGTGTATATGGAGCAGACATAGGCTCCTCGGTGCATCATTTACCAAAAATCTGACGAAACTATATATGAACCCATTTTCACGAAACTTAGCACACATCATTCTGCACTTAATTCAGTACGCTATGCCAAATTTTGTGCACATCGAAATATATATAGGGACGTTGGTGCACCATTTACCTTAAATCGGACGAAAATATATGGGAGCTATATCTAAATCTGAACCGATTTTCATGAAATTCAACACACATCTTTCTAGACTTAATTTAGTATATATATATTCCAATAGAAATATATATATATATATATATATATATTCCAATAGGGTTCTTCCTTGGGCAAAACAAATGAGCTGTACCAAATTTCATTCAAATCGGATTATAAATGCGACCTGTACTTTGTTTACAATTTAACACCAACAGACGGACGGACATGCATAAATCGACTCAGAAAGTGATTTTATGCATATTCTCAAAAGGAACCATGTGTCTATCTCGTTTCCTTTTGCCTGTTACAAACATAAGCACAAAGACATAATACCCTGTACCACAGTGTGGTGAAGGGTATAAAAACTGTGACTAAAATTATGTTCATTAAAAATGTTTTTTCTGTGTAGAAGAAATATACCAACATTTTAAAGGCTTGGTTAATATATACAGTTGTGCAAAGATTGGTTCAAATCGGATAGTCTGTTATAATTTTATTTGATAGTTTCCAGAAAGAGTGTACTAATATTTCACATTTTTGTAGTTTATTTAAGTTTTGAAGAAACGGTCGGACATTTGTAAATCGAATCCTATTTCCTGAAACGGATTTGGTCCAAACAAGCACGGGGTCTAAAAACAATACTTCAGTGTGGCATATTTTTCGGTTACAAAGTGTATTTAGGGCTACGATTTTTCGACTCAAAAAAGATTAGCTGCATCAGAAATGAATAAAATTTTGCCTATTAATGACTAAAATAAGGCTTATTTCATTCGATTATCGAAGAACATTTGACGTTTTTATACCCTTCACCACACTGTGGTACAGGGTATTATGTCTTTGTGCATATGTTTGTAACAGGCAAAAATAATCGAGATAGACCCATGGTTCCTTTTGAGAATATGCATAGAATCACTTTCTGAATCGATTTATGCATGTCCGTCCGTCCGTCTGTCCGTCTGTCCATGATAAATTGTAAACAAAGTACAGGTCGCATTTATGATCCGATTTGGATGAAATTTGGCACAGCTCATTTGTTTGGCCCAAGGTCGAACCCTATTGAAATTGGGAAAAATCGGTTCAGATTTAAATATAGCTCCCATATATATTTTTGCCCGATTTACGGACTTTAGACCCTGAAAATCTTTCGATTTGCACGAAATTTGGCATAGCGTACTGAATTGAGCCACGAAAGATGTGTGCCAAGTTTCGTGAAAATCGGTTCAGATTTAGATATAGCTCCCATATATAGTTTCGGTCGATTTTTGGTAAATGGCGTACCAAAGTCCCTATATATCTTTCGATTTGCACGAAATTTGGCATAGCGCACTGAATTAAGTCTAGAATGATGTGTGCAAAGTTTCGTGAAAATCGGTTCAGATTTAGAGATAGCTCCCGTATATATCTTCCTCCGATTTAAGGTAAATGGTGTATCAAAGTCCTTATATATCTTTCGATTTGCATGAAATTTGGCATAACGTACTGAATTGAGGCTAGAATGATGTCTGCCCAGTTTCGCGAAAATCGGTCCAGATTTAGATATAGCTCCCATATATAGTTTCGTCCGATTTCATGTTAATGGTGCCCCAAAGTCCCTATATATCTTTCGGTTTGCTGGAAATTTGGCATAACGTACTGAATTGAGCCTAGAATGATGTCTGCCCAGTTTCGAGAAAATCGGCCCAGATTCAGATATAGTTTCGTCCGATTTCATGTAAATGGTGCACCAAAGTCCCTATATATCCTTCGATATATTTGGATAGAGCTTCCATATATATTTTCGCCCGATTTTAAGTAAATTGGACATCAAACTCTTCATGCTAGTCAGGTTGACATCAAATTTTGCACAACGTACAAAATTGAGCATATAATTACGTAGTTGCGTTTTCTAGAAGTACAGACATAGCCCAACAGATAACCTATTCATATTTGATTGAAGTCGATTTATATAACTTATGGATATATAGGTAGATTCACATTTAGGTAAATATCACATATTTTATTTCATCCAATTTCATGTTAATAGTCCTGTTTAATATATCCATAGTGGTGAAGGGTATCATATAGTCGGCCCCGTCCGACTTTACTACTTTCCTTACTGGTTATTTACAAGTCAGTGTGGTGGCTCAAAAGCTGTTTATTTATATACTTGCTTACAGTGACTAAAACAATTTTACAAAAAATCGTACAAATAAAAAATTGTAAATGATTTCGGGTGTGAGATTTTTTATAGAATCATCTATCATTTAGATTTTATTTAATCGTAAGCAAAATCTTATCAGAATATTGTACAGGGATAAGAGAATGTAAAAAAGTAAAATTTGAACCGATAGATCTCATTATCAATATAAAACATCCTAGGGATAGTAGCAATATGTACTTTATGGGATCAGCGGTGAATTTTTAGTTTCGTTTTGCAGACGGAATGACAAATGATGGCTACGGCATGATGGAGGCTATGGAAAATGTACACTTTTTATTTAATATTGACCATAACTCATCTATCTAATGGTTGTTTAAAATTTCCTCACATATTGAGTACAAATATGTTTTCATATTCACTTTAGCTATTTCATTTAATATCTTCATGTATTTACGATCAGTTGCAAATTTATGATTTAAAATAGCATAACAACAATGGAGATGCTATGCGTATGTATGCTATCTTACAACTAAAATTTCTGTTGACTGGTTGATTGTCAGTCTGTGGTCATCAATTTTTGATTTGCCACTATTGAAGTTATTCGCTACCACAAACATTTGAGTAAAATAATCGACTGGTGGTTACTCTACACTATTGTTGCAATGTAAAATCGAAAGACTTAAGAAACAAACATGATTTGTACGATTCTTTGACAACATTAACATTTGAAGGGGAATTTTTTAATTAAATGTTTTCATTGGGGGAAGTATAGCTAGGGATAGATTCAATAATTAAAGAAGTTCTAGACATTATTAATTTTTGAAATTTTCAAAAACCTGTAATTTATTTTTGAATATAGAACTCCCTTAGCCACCTTCCCTTAAATACATATAATAATTAAATACAAATTCGTTGATGTTCCCCACATGTCTTCAATACCCCATGTAGAGTATTAGAAACAAATGAACAAACAAATAAATTGGAATAAATGATAAAGGAAACGGAATTGCATTTGATGTCAAATTGAAAAACATTCAGCTGACTAGAAATAACAATATAAAAAACAGCAACAACTTACATTGGTGAATAGCTGGCAGGACTGAAGAGGGTCTCGTTCTGGCGAGCAGGTGTTCTAGCCAAAGCACTTTTAGCCTGTAAAGAAAAACAAAAAAGAACATTAATAAACGAATGAATGCGAATGCAGTCAGTCATTCAAACTCTAAATGTCTGTTGTATGAATCAATAATAATCGATTGAATTGAAGAAACGAAGGAATGAAAGAACAAATTCAACAATAGATGACTATATCCTGAAAGTGACGATAACAAAAGAAACAATTACAGCGACGTACATAAAGAATAGAACAAAAATATGAAATGTTGTGCAAGAACTTAAAGAAAGACCTGGCAAAGACCATTGTAAAACATTTCAGAATTGCCTCCCTTTTCTTCGCTAAATCGTCGTTTTCTTTTGTTTACCCACTAACAAGTTGCATTGCAAGAAATAATTGAAAATGGAACTGCTGTAATAGAATTGTAATGGGCGTTTTTCTGTATTGTTCTGTGTGAGTGTTGTTAATTTTCCCCTAATGGCCGGTAAAAGAAAAATTAACACCTGTCGATTTGCCGAGGATGGTAAGTATAAAAAATGGCACTGCATTGATTTTTTCCAGATTAAGGAAGCAAAACAAATATAATAAGTATGTTATGGTTAATAGAGCATTGTAAGCAGGTGTAATTTTAGGGAAATAAATTTTAATAAAACTGTAATTGGGCTTATAGATTTGGAGGAATTTAAGTTTCATTTAGTTTAGATATGTCGATTGCAATAAATATTTTAAAAAATCCACGCCTATTTATAGCCCTCCGAAAAAAATATTTTTAAAAATCCACGCCTATTTATTATCCTCCGAAAAAAATATTTTTAAAAATCCACGCCTATTTACACTTAGTTGCGCGTTGATATAATCAGCTTGGTCTTCTCGCCGTTTACTGCCAGACCCACATTGACAGACTTCTTTTCAATTTGTTCAAAGGTGGCTGTGACCGCTCTCAATTTTCGACCCATTATGTCGATGTCATCGGCGTAGGCGAGTAAAATGTGTTGTTTGGTATGCAGGGTGCCATTTCTGTTCACCTTTGGCTCTCGTATGACCTTTTCCAGCAGGATCTTAAAAAGGTCACACGACAAACTGTCACCTTGTCTGAATCCTCGTTCGGTATTAAAGGGCTAAGTGCTGATCTTGTGCCTGCCAAAGTTATCCTGCATAGCCGAATTAATTTTGCAGGAATACCAAACGCAGGCATGGCTTTAAACACCTCTGAACGGAATACGGCTTTATAGTCGACGAATAGGTGGAATGTGGCTATGTGTTTTTCGTGTTTTTCCCAGTATTTGGCGCAGAGTGAAAATCTGGTCAATGGTGGATTTGCCAGGTCTGAAGCCGGATTGGTATGGTCCAATAATGTCATTGGCTTCAGTCGTTCACATATCTCGCACTGTATATGCGATGAGACTTATTCCGCTATATCATATCGTCTTGTTTCCTTTTATGTGCACGGGAAACAGGATGCTGAGGTTCTAATCATTGGGCATGCATTCCTCTAGCCAAATTGTACTAATCAGCTTGTACATGCTTCTTACCGTAATCCATCGGCACCTGCTGCTTTATTATTCTTCAGTCGATTGACTGCTATTCAGACCTCATCTTGGCTAGATGGTAAACACTCTATACCGTCATCAATTATTGGTTCTGGGGTATCCTCTTCACCGCTACTATTTGATACAAGAAGTATTTCAAAATGCTCCCTCCAGATCCTCAACAAGCTGTGTGTATCTGTAACTGTGTTTCCTTCTTCACCTCTCCAGGAGGATGTGCCTGCACCAAAGTCTTCGGTTTGGTGTTTTACTCGTTGGTAAAATTTTCGGACATCATTCTGACTCCTGTACATCTCGATTTGCTCACACTCACGTTTTTCTTGCTCTTTCTGAAAATACGTTTCTTCTCTCATTTTCTCCCGATAGTTCTCCATCGCATTACGTGTTGCTACTGTCCCCGGAGGTAGCCCTAAACGCTGCGTTTTTCATATCAGTAGCATTAAGACACTCCTGGTCGTACCACGGATTTCTTGATGGTGGTCTTTGATACCGAAGTGTTGCTTGTGCTGCAGTTTGTAGGGAGTGGGCAATTCTCTACCTTTGTCAGTGGGTTAAGTTGAGCGGAGTAGGCTTCTGCTATCTGTTGGCGCTCGTAAATAATGTCTTTGGTCGGAGCATGGACGCAAATAATACTGATGTATAAGAACTTCGCTTTTATGCGGATTATAGCAATTCGATCATCTGCTAGAGTGAATCTGGAGACGAAGTCTTTTTTTCTCCTGTTAACCATAAATCCGTAGCCAAATTCATGTCTCGTTTCATGAAAGCTATAATACAGGGCGTAATCATCAGATTTACTTACACCATTCCCTTTCCATCGCATTTCCTGTAAGGCAATAATATCGGCTTTGTACTTCTTGAGTACATCGCCAAAGCGAAAACTGCTCCTGTTCTATAAAAGGTGCGCACATTCCAAGTACAGATTCGCCGATCGTGGTCCTTTATACGTTTGCGGGGGTCGTCAACATTAGGGGTGTTTGGTTTTCGTTTTCTTTGCTTTTTCATAGTAGCAGGGGTTTTCCGACGCCTCAACCCATTTTTTATATTTTTATATATGGTTGAACTCGCGGCACATATTAGCTCACTATTTCAACGGGTGATGAAAAATAGCTACCCCAGGTGACACTGCGGGGAGGTCAGTGTCCACAATTGAGATAAAAGAGGGACCAAGAGAGGCCTGGACTTCGCCATGTTAAAGCCAATCAGAGCCAATATATATTTAAAAATCCACGCCTATTTATAGTCCTCCGAAAAAAATAGTTTTAAAATCCAGGCATATTTATAGTCCTCCAAAAAAATATTTTTAAAATCCAGGCATATTTATAGTCCTCCAAAAAAATATTTTTAAAAATCCACGCCTACTTATAGTCCTCCGAAAAAATATTTTTAAAAATCCACGCCTTTTTATAGTCCTTCGAAAAAAATGTTTTGCAAAATCCAGGCCTATTTATCCAAGCCTTTGTATAATCCCTATAAACATTTATTAGGAAATTTTTAAAAAATATTCAGTTAGAAGACCTCTGACTGGTCCCCATCCTATATACCCATTCTTCTGTCTATAATAGACCTCAGAAAGCTCTTTAGTAATTAAGTAAATATATTTCCATTTACTCATGCACATTACTCCAATTCTAATTTACAAAGATCACATTATACGATTTCCTGCTAATCCATCCATCCAAATACCACACCATTCAGATCACTTAAATCTAGGAAATAACAACTAAAACAAAACAGCCGACTGAACTTATTTCCGTCAGTTAAAATAAACAAATGACACGCACCTAAATATAATTGTCAATGGAAATTTTACAAATAGTTAAGTGACAACGACACAACAACAACAACATCGTTGTACTCGTACACATTCATAGTTAGCAACTCTCCTACAAAGCATTTCGCATTAACTAGCCTTCAACGCGGTTACTAAGTACGACTACTGCTTGAGGATTGGCAGTAGTAGTTTCCCATCATTTGACAATACACTCCACCTCACTCCATTGGCCACAGATGTTTGCTGTCGTTGATGTTTGTACGGCACGTTAACCTCTTGAAATAACAACGTTCAGAATTCCACCTGTTGTTTTTAGAACTTCTGAAAAGAAGAAGAAGTAGAAGCAGCCACAGCAGATAGCTGAACATTGATAAAAATTGACATCGAACAACAACGAAATGAAAATATTTTGTGTTTTTTAAGTTTGCTATGGATTTAAAGAAGAACATCATCAAAAATTAAAAGTAGTAGCAAATCTAATGAAAAATATCAAACTATTCACAATATGAACACGAATAGTGGGAATGGAGGGGATAAATGAAAATACACAACTCTTAGCAGTTTGAACTTAAAATTTACCACTTACAACAGAAAACAAACCAACAAAGTCTGACCATAACAAAAGTGTTTGTTTATCCCGAAACAAATTTAACGCATTTCCGTTGAGATTTTTTATGACTGCTTAACATGAGATATAACACTCAGGGAAAAATGTAAGTTCAATGAAATAATACTTTTAAAAAAATCCAAGCCTATTTATTGTCGCTGAAAAAATATTTTTAAAAAATCCAAGCCTATTATTGTCCCTGAAAAAAATATTTTTAAAAAAATCCACGCCTGATGTTTTTATTGTCCCTGAGTGGCGTAGGGGATGATAGATACCAAGCAACGGATCTGATTGACTTTAACATCGCGAAGTCCAGGCTTATCTTGGTCCCTATTTCACCTTAATTGTGGACACTGACCTCCCCGCGGTTCCACCTGGGGAGCTATTTTCATAAGTAAATCAGATGATAACGCCCTGTATTATAACTGCCATGAAACGAGACATTAATTTGGCTGCGGATTTATGGTTAACACGAGAATAAAAGACCTCGTCTCCAGATTCACTCCAGTAGATGAGCGAATTACTATAATCCGTATAAAAGCGAAGTTCTTTTGCGCCCTTGCTCCGACCGAAGATAAAGATGAACAGAACAAAGACATATTTTACGAGCGCCTAGAAACAGCATATGACCGTTGCCCTGGCCATGACATTAAAATTCTGCTAGGAGATTTTAAAGCAAAAATCGGAAGGGAAAATATATTTGGTCCAACCGTCGGAAAATTCATGAAGAAACATCAGACAACGGCATTAGGTTTATTGACTTCGCGGCAGCAAACAACTTGGTAGTTAGCAGCACCAGATTCAAGCATCTCGATATACACAAATCCACTTTGATTTCTCCCGATCGAACAACGAGAAATCTAATCGATCATGTTGTGATCGACGGAAGGCATTCATCCAGTGTTTTAGACGTCCGATCGACTCGGGGTAGCGAATTCGGACCATTACCTTGTGGCAGCCAATGTACGCACCCGTCTTAATGTAGCAACAAACGTGCGATCTAATGTAACACGGAAACTCGACGTCAAAAAGCTGCAAACACCACAGGTAGCAGAGGCCTACTCCGCTCAACTTACCCAAATCACTTTTTGTTCCTATAATAGTATAGAAGCA